GGCCCCTATTACACACAAACACACACTCACACACACACACACCTACACTCAAATCACCTTGAAATGTGTGTGTGTGTGTGTGTGTGTGTGTGTGTGTGTGTGTGTGTGTGTGTGTGTGTGTGTGTGTGTGTGTGTGTGTGTGTGTGTGTGTGTGTGTGTGTGTGTGTGTGTGTGTGTGTGTGTGTGTGTGTGGAGTTGGAGATAAAAGAAAGCGTTTTCTCCGGCAGTGTGCCGACCAGCTGCTTGGCTTAATACTTAACCAACAGTGGAGTCTGGAGTAGCGCTGGGGTCAGACAAGGGGCCCTGTACGTGTGTGTGTGTGTGTGTGTGTGTGTGTGTGTGTGTGTGTGTGTGTGTGTGTGTGTGTGTGTGTGTGTGTGTGTGTGTGTGTGTGTGTGTCTGTGTGAGAGAGATGTATGAGGAGGCATTCCCATTGTAATCATGCCCCCCCCCTCCCTCTCCAGCCATCTGCTCGGCGGACTGCAGTGAGAAGCACGGTTACTGCGAGGCCCCTGGGGGCTGTACTTGTCGCATGGGCTGGCAGGGCCCCTTCTGCACCGAGTGTGTTCGCTACCCAGGCTGCCTCCATGGGACCTGCGGCCAGCCCTGGCAGTGTACTTGCCAGGAGGGCTGGGGGGGCCTCTTCTGCGACCAGGACCTCAACTACTGCACCAACCACAAGCCCTGTGCCAACGGGGCCACCTGCACCAACACGGGACAGGGCAGCTACACCTGCACCTGCCGGCCCGGCTTCGGAGGGACCAACTGTGAGCTGGAGACCAACGAGTGTGACAGCAACCCCTGCAAGAACGGAGGCAGCTGCAACGTGAGTACAAGGGGATCAAGTATATTCGTTTGATTTGAAGGTGCAATTATACTGAAACACCTGCATAAAGAAACACAAGCTTTAAAGATAGGATAGATAGGATCCCATGCGTGGAATATCAAGTGCCACAACAGCAGAAAAATAAGAACAGTATCAGAATACTTTATTTATATAGAAACTGAAATAAATGAAAATTGAATAAAAATACACATGAGAAGTTAAAGTAAGAATGTGCAATACAAAGTGGAATACTTTATAAAATACAAATAAAAAAATGTATATAAACTGAGGAAATGAAAGTAAATGTTTAATTAAATTAAATGTAATACAAATATGTATATAAAGATAAGAAGCTTAAGTAGAAGGGTGCACATTGTACTACAATATTTAAAATGTATATTGCAATATATACAGTGGGGTATTAGTATTAATAAGATAATAATGCAGCACTGCAGTTTAAAAGGGTTTGGCTGCTGATGATGTCATAGTGCCAGTCTATTAACTTACAGTGCTACCAGTATATAGATTATTTTGCATTTAAGTCGTGTGAAGAGACTATTCATTTGCAATAAACAAGTAGATTGCTGAACTGCAATGTACAACTTCATGTAGACTCATTTGATGCATATTGAAAATGAAGAGCTTGTATCATCGCTTTACCTAACATTAAAACAACATGGCGCCACACATCTATCCCGAACTCTATTTCTTTTTTTAACATAGACCTTTTATCTCCCTCTGTCCACAGGACCTGGAGAACGACTACTCATGCAGCTGCCCTCAGGGATTCTACGGTAAAAACTGCGAGATCATCGCCATGACCTGTGCGGACGGTCCCTGCTTCAACGGAGGCACCTGTGTGGAGGCCATGACTGGGGGCTACACCTGCCGCTGCCCCCCCAGCTATACCGGCTCCAACTGTGAGAAGAAGCTGGACCGCTGCAGCAACAGGCCCTGTCTGAACGGTGAGTGTTCCTCTGGCGACATCTAGTGGCTGAAAGACAACCCAGCAGTTACTTGGCAAAATATCAAATCGTTTTCCTGAATCACTGTCAACACTCCAGCATCATTGCACCTGCTGCAAGGGAGTGTTAAGATGTAATCACATTAACAACCCTTTTAACAAAGAGTCGTCTCAGATCTCTTGGATGCTCAACAGTTTTTTCTCTCTCCTGCAGGTGGTGATTGTCTGGATCTCGGCCAGAGCGTCTTGTGCCGCTGTAAGGCCGGCTTCACTGGTGCCAACTGCCAGGTCAACATCGACGACTGCGCCTCCACCCCCTGCCAGAACGCTGGAACCTGCCAAGATGGTGTGAACGGCTACACCTGCTCCTGCACCCTGGGGTACACCGGCAAGAACTGCAGCGTGCGCTCAGATGCCTGTGGAGTCCTCCCATGCCAGAACGGGGGCACCTGCTTCACCCACTTCACCGGGCCGGTGTGCCAGTGCCCCAAAGGCTTCATGGGTCCCAGCTGTGAGTTCACCCTGCAGCCCAGCTTCAAGCCCGCCCTGCGTCAGACCTCCCAGCCCTCCTCCGCCACCCTCACCGTCTCCTGCATCCTGGCCGTCCTGGTGCTGGTCCTGCTGGCAGGTATCATCTTCCTGAGGAGGAGGAGGAGGAGGCTGCAGGGGAGGAAGCAGCTCAGCGACGTTGCAGTCTACAATGACTTAGAGAATGTCAACAATGTTGGAGGAAGCGAAAGAGACTCCTTCCTCGGTCCCAACGGCTTGTTCAAGATCAGTAACGGCACGGCTCGCCTCAGCCTCTCCCTCTGCCCAGACGGAAGATCCGGGTACAGACCCACTCCTGCTGAGAGCAGACCGGCCAGAGACGAGCGGCAGGACTTTATGTGGAGGGACGAGGCCAGCCTGGGCTCTGCAGCAGGGCTGAGATGAAACACTGAAGGAACATGGGACGTTCATACAGGGGTAAAGAAATATTAGCACTTGTTGCTCCTCTCTTGTCATGCACAGTGAAGAAAGGAGCGAATCCATGAGTTGAAAACCACTCATACAGAAGATGTACCATTAAAAATGTAAGCATACAAAAAAAAGAAAGACAAATGAACTATTCTGTTGAAGATGATTTTCAAAGATTTGGACTAGGTGTATGGGGCAAAGCTCTTCCACGTTTAAGATCCAAAGAAACAAATAATACGATCAACCTTTCATAGGACCTACAACACAAACCAAATACAGGAAGTCACAAAACTCTTTGGAAAAATATGTATAAATGAGTTATTGTTTTTTTAATATGTTCACTTTGTTTGGCTGTTTCTCATTTTTTAAACACTGATTTTTGTGTTTGCTTTTCAATCTTCCTTTGGACTTTATTTCCTCATTGTGCGTACCATCATAATTATAATTTATATTATTTATTTATTTACAAAAATGTTGTTATTAATGTCTTCTCTTCGATTGTCAAAGATGTAGAGATATATTTATATGGTGCTGAATGAAGACCGACACTTGATGTAGCTGGATGTTTTACGGCTGTGTGAAATATCCCAAAGATATTCAGAGCAGGGATATGAAGACAATGTGCTTTTACACAAAGTCAGCCGTTACTGTAATTTATATATATATAGTTTATATACTACTGATTCAATTGCTCCTTCATGTGCCATTTTATGTTCATGCCAAAGTTTGTGTTATGTTTTCATTCATATTATTTAATTTCATCATGTTGTTGTTGTGATGTCAAATAAACAATTTGCTTTAATGCTATTCTGGTTTTGTCTCTCAATACATAAGGGAAATAAGATGAGATTTCCGATAACATTGTGTATAATCAGGTGTCACCAAGAAGACTTAAAGGGCCCTATTATGCTTTTTGGGGTTTCCCTTTCCTGTGGTTTGTTATGTAGGTTGTGGAAATATTTTCCAAGGCCCATAACTTTGACCCAGTTTATCAGTTCAAACTGTCCTGACTGAGCACACGCACCTCGTAACCTTGGCTGCTGTGCTCTCAGTGTTCTGTCTCCCTGTTCCTGCCTGTTGGCGTCATCTGATAGAGGTGTTATGATTCTATGTTCCTGCCTGTTGGCGTCAGCTGATAGAGGTGTTATGATTCTATGTTCCTGCCTGTTGACGTCAGCTGATAGAGGTGTTATGATTTTATCTTGTTATGCAGCAGTTTGATGATGCTCTCAGAACTAGTTAAATACAGGGGTCTGAGGTAGAGTTCTTTAGAATTGACGTGGCAACCCACCCGTGCAGTCTCACCGGGACTGCTGTGACTTGTGATGTGAGTGCTCCGGCCGAAACTCCAATAAATCATCAGTGTTTTGACATCAAAGCTACTGCTCCTACCGTGTCTCCATCCTGAGTCGGTGACTCCCACTGCATTGCTACACAGAAGTTTCCCTTACAATTTAGGTGTTTGTGCATGTCAATGGTCTGCAAAGGCTAAACTACCAAAGTTCCTTCCAGAGGGAGCTCCTCTCACACACCCCCAGTGACATCACTATATACACTTGCGCTTCTTCTGCCTAGCACCTCAACACATCGTACGTGATAAGCAAAATTGTGAAACATCTGTAAGTGGTTGACCAATCACAGCAGAGCCAGCTAACCAATCAGAGCAGACCGGGCTCTGGTTTCAGACAGAGGGTGAAAAGAGGTGCTGCAGCACAGTATGAGACAAATAAAGAGCTATTTGAACATTAAAGCATGGAGACATGTCCCAGTAGAGACACTAAATACAAATATGAACATTTGCACAAGAGGGCCCTTTAATATATTATCCACTGAAAACGTACACCCTCAAAAACCACTTAGAATATAAAATATATCATGCCAGTGCCCATAAGGAAAGTGAACACTCAGGAGAACCGAGCAGTGCTGTAGGAACTTTTTATATGATAAAGGAATTCAAAAACGGTATAATCAATCATCTTATTGATTTGTATTGACGCTGTGAACCAATGTACAAATAAAAAGGTATACATAGCTATCCATGTTGCAGAGGTCGGATGCTATTAGTTGTGAGTCAGCCATAATGATTCCACTTTGCAGTGCTGGAGTAAATACACTATGTTACCTTGTAGTTTAATTCGAAATGCCATTTAAGTCATGCACTGGTTCAGATGGTTATTTGTATACCCCGTGCGTAAACATCCCGGAACAGAATGTCCGTCCCCCCGTCCCCCCACTCCTCCAGAGGAAGGGAACCAGTCACACCAGCGCACAGCAGACATGGCAGCCGAGCGCACCGGAGCGGCTCTCGAGGAAACGGACGAGGTTCATTCATCAGATTTGGAGTTTCAGGAACACGGTGGTAACATCCCGAAGAGACATGCCCGGGTTACCGTGAAGTACAACCGGAAGGAGCTGCAGAGGCGGCTGGACGTGGAGAAGTGGATCGACGAGAGCCTGGAGCGGCTGTACGCGGGGCAGGTGGGTGGAGGAGCGACCTTAAATACTAAAACAAGTCTGTATTGTACAAAAAGCAGTGGTGGGACAAATGTTAAGATAGGCCTACTTTACTTAAGTAAAAGTACAAATACATCAGCGTCAAGATACCCCAGTAAAAGTAAAAGTCCTGCATTTAAAATATCACATAAGTAAAAGCAGGCTATAGGAGTAATATCAGCAACATGTAATTAAACTATTAAAAGTAAAAGTACTTATTCTGCAGAAAATGTGCCTCCATATGTGATATTTTATTATGCATGGCATTATTAGAATGTTAATAGTGTTGCATTAATAAGCAATTTACTTTTGTGGACAAACAACATAAATACACAGATACATAAATTATTGTTGTTTTTTGTACTTTCTTGTCATGCAATTGGTTATTTGTCCTTTTTACCTTAAACTGATATTCCACTGGTTTGTAATGCAACATCTGAAAAGTAACTAAAGCTGTCAGACAGTACATCTGTTGGAGTAAAAGTACAATATTTATATGAGATGTAGTAAAGTATGAAGTAGCATTAAATGGAAATACTTAAGTGAAGTACAAGTTACTCAAATTGTACTTAAGTACAGTTCTTAAGCAAATGAACTTAGTTACTTTCCACCGCTAATAATAAGACAGTATCCTAATCAAACAACATGTCATTAAAGATTATGTACAATTGTGAAGGTGTGACTCCATAGTTGAAGTATGGGAAATGAAGCAGGACGCTTTCAATATAAAGTTATTATATTTCAATAATTTGGTATATTGAGATTACAAAGTCCTGAGCTGCAGGCCTCCTGTGGGGGGGGGGCTGAGGGGATGATCATTAGGAGGAGAGGTGGCCCACCCTGGTTCTCCTTACAAGGCCAAGCATCCTGTGCTCCACAGCTGTCCCCTTCCCAGAGATCTGTATATGTCTCTGGGCTTGCCTTACATGGTCACTGTGGAACTGAGAGAGAACATAATTTATGTGAAAAAGGATACGGAGCAGAGAAGGAGCTGTTGTTCAAATCCCAGGAGGACACCTCACATCTGGACTCTGAGGCGACTGACAGGGGTTAAGGGTCTCTCAAGAGGACATTTTTGGACATGAAGTGTGTGTTTGTGCTGTTTAGCCAAGTATGTTAAATTATAGAACATATCGGCAGATCATCTCAATAATAAGACAGTTCTTTGAAGCAAAAGGAGCAAACAGGGCTCAATGGATTCAAGGAATTCACAGGCTTTAATTGTCTTATGCATAAAGCTATTTCGTTAGCAAGGACAATCTTAAGTTCCAAGCTCCTCCAACAATGCAACTTACTATATTACATTACATGTCACTTGTTAGACGCTTTTATCCAAAGCGACTTCCATACTCAATACTGTGGGCAATCCCCACAGGAGCAATTTGGGGTGAAGTGACTCAGGGACACAACGACATGCTGACTGCAGTGGGGTTCGAACCTGTGACCACCTGATCCCAACACCAAGGCTCTATCTGCGCCACACGCCTCCCTATATACTTAACATAAAAAGAAAAATACACACAATAGTGCAATAGACATTACATTGCAGGAATAAGACGACATACATTTAATATGAGTTAATTTTACATATTATACAGTAGAATAAACATTTCAATAATATATAAATATGTGTTTTTTTGGAATGAATAGATGTACAGAGTAACAGTGTAATTTAAACACAGAGAATGAAGCCTTCAATAAAATATTTTCCCCAAAATCAATGGCATATTCACATGAACCTCACATCAAAACATAGATTTGATGCAGTATTAGGAGAAAATGGTCACTTTGGAAACTCTTATTTTCATTGTAATGGTTCATATCTGTTTTGTATTCTCTAACTACTCTAGACAGGATTTATTTTGTTGAACACACTAACAGAGGTGTGTTTTTCCAGTGAGATGGACCTGGATGTGGACGATGTGACCTGAATGTGATCTGTGGGGCTGGAGAGCAGAAGTCCTGTCTGTGTCAATGGGATTACACAGTTCAGTGGTAGCCTGGGCAGATTCCACTGTCCCTTTCGCCCAGCTAAACTGGAACAACAACTGTTTGTTCAAACAGAACAAGCCACTCTCTCATTGCTAAGTGAACATTGTCACCATTCAGCCCTCAGAGCCTAAACATGCAAGTGATGGATATGCAATGTGTGCAGGCGGACTCTAAAGTCTTCAGTTGCTCGACACATGGTTACAGGATGCTAAATATTTCCTTCTGCTATTATCTCCACCAGTACCTGAGGGTTCCCTGGAATGAACTGTTTGTGTAAATGGATCATGGCTCCTGCGTATATTTACAGTTGCACCAATATTTGTAGCCGTGGTATTTCTATGGCTGCAGGTCAGTCAGTTTGTTCTTAGGCCACCATGAGGTTCATTCTGCAGTGCAGAGGGAAATAGCTTGTCAACGAATGAATGGATTGCCCTGACATTTGCTACAGTTATTCAATGTCTGTACGGATGATAAATGAACATTCCCTTTGACCCATTGACTTTCCCTCTTGCAACACCAGTTGGTCAGAGTTCATCTTAAATACATACAGTTGCAAGAAAAAGTCCACAGAATATGTTGCCAGTAGTGCTGTGGAACATCCAGGTGCTCTTTTGCAAACTTCAAACGTGCAGCAATGTTTTTTTCTGGACAGCAGTGGCTTCCTCCGTGGTGTCCTCCCATGAACTCCATTCTTGTTCAGTGTTTTATGTATCGTAGATTCGTCAACAGAGATGTTAGCATGTGCCAGAGATTTCTTTAAGTCTCTAGCTGACACTCTAGGATTCTTCTTCACCTCATTGAGCATTCTGCGCTGTGCTCTTGCAGTCATCTTTACAGGACGGCCACTCCTAGGGAGAGTAGCAACAGTGCTGAACTTTCTCCATTTATAGACAACTTGTCTTACCATGGACTGATGAACATCAAGGCTTTTAGAGATACTTTTGTAACCCTTTCCAGCTTTATGCAAGTCAACCATTCTTAATCGTAGGTCTTCTGAGAGCTCTTTTGTGCGAGGCATGGTTCACATCTGGCAATGCTTCTTAAGAATAGCTAATTCAAAACTGGTGTGTATTTTTTATAGGGCAGGGCAGCTTTAACCAACACCTCCAATCTCGTCTCATTGATTGGACTCCAGGTTGGCTGACTCCTGACTCCAAGTAGCTCTTGAAGAAGTCTTTAGCCTAGGGGTTCACATACTTTTTCCACCCTGCACTGTGAATGTTTACATGGTGTGTTCAATAAAAACATGAAAACATATCATTGTTTGTGTGGTATTAGTTTAAAGCAGACTGTGTTTGTCTATTGTTGTGACTTAGATGAAGATCAGAACACATTTTATGACTAACTTATGCAGAAATCCAGGTAATTCCAAAGGGTTCACATACTTTTTCTTGCAACTGTATTTCAACATTTAGGCTATTAATGGATTGAAAAGGATTGTTTTTTTAGATATCAGTGGTTCTCAGAAAGTCAATTGTCCTCTGACCTTTCCTCTTGCGCCACCATCAGCGTAACCCTATGGCATACTGTTGCCCTCAGGCAACAAACCACTTCTTTCGACCTCACACTGGCCCTCTAAATATTTAATTTTTTAAAAATATACACAATGTCACCTGACATGCTGGTTTCCAATACAATGAGGGAATGATATGGGTGTGGCATTTTGTCTGGGGGTGGAGCAGTCCTTTCTGCAAGCAAAGCTGCAGGGGACTCAGGGCCACCACTTGGTAAGATACATTTCACTTTTTAACATATTAGAAATGTACACAACTTAAAATAAAAAATATATGCATGTGCATGAATACGTAAAGAAGTATATTTGATTGTTTAAAGGCTTATTATGTATTTATAAATTTGCTAAAACTATGTTTTTTTGTTCGTTGCCTCAGGGCAACACTGTGCACTTAGACCACTTTTTTCCAGGCAATATCATGCAAGTGTGCAAATGTGCTCAGCTGTAAAATGATAAACCTAGTCAATGTTTTTACATCTACTGATATTTACAGGACACGGACCACATTTTAAAATTGATATGATATCAGGGACCCCTAAGCTCCTAAAACACATGGTGACATTTTTTATTTCAAAATAAAAAGTCATGCCATAGAGCAGGGGTGGGGAACCTTTTTCCTCTCAAGGGCCATTTACATTTTTACAACATCCTCCGAGGGCCGTACAAATTATTGACCTCTGCTTAAAAAAACTAAAATCACAGCCCATTCATTTGGCCTTTCTTTCATAATGTGCAAACCTTAAACTCTTAATCCAGATATCTTACCATGACTCGCATATGCATGCACGTGCACGGTTGTGGCATGACCACCAAAACAGAAAGATATGGACACAAGATGTGTGCAAATGTATTTAGTTTCCTGTCCATGTGGACATTATTTAAGTGGGGGGGACCTAACCTCCTCTAGGGGGGTACGGGGGCATGCTCCCCCGGGAAGATTATTTTTTAAATATTGAAGTTAAGAGCATCAATCTGGTGCACTTTGAGAGCAAAATGAAGAGATCTATGGATACATCTCTCAACACCCATATGAAACAGAACTGTAAACAGATTTCTTCTTCTTTATGAATATTTTACTAATCACTCCCCTTTTAAACTGTATTCTTGTTTATTAATAATAACTTTGTTTTACTGTCATATAATAATAATAATAATACATTTGATTTCTATAGCGCTTTTCTTGAACCCAAAGACGCTTTACATTTGGGAGGGAGGGTAGACAAACAAAACAAAAACAAAAACAAAGCCAAAAAGAAACAAAGAAACAAAACAAAACAGAAAAGCAGTCAGGAGGAAGTTGGCTGAGAGGGGGGGGGGGGGGGGCTTATGGATACAGAGTTGAAGAGGTGGGTTTTGAGGCGGGACTGGAACAGGGTGAGGGACTCAGACTCACGGAGGTCTTGGGGGCGGGAGTTCCAGAGCTTCGGGGCTGCCACAGAGAAGGCTGTATCCCCGAAGCTCCGGAGTTTGGCCTTGGGGA